GAAATGCTTTGATGCAAATTTTATTGATTCCATTGATTCTTTTTTTTCAAACTGTGGCTGAAAACTGAAATACTGTAAATATTACACAAAGCAGCAGGAGGAGACAGTCGGACAGCTTCCTTCAAACAATAAACAGGAAGTCACAGAAACGTTAACATCCTGTTAGATCATCTGTAGGCTGCCTGTAGTTTTTACTACTTCACTACAGTTGATCGTGTGATTGGCTGCTTAGCTGTGTCAGGACTTGAGCAGCTGTAACATGGATGCTTAATTAGTAATTACATAGTTTTAATGTCATTTCAATGACGAGCTGTTGGCAGGAATACTCTGTGTGTGTATGTGAATACTACTATGTGTGTGAGAAAGTATACTGTTGACACTCTGACAGCAGGATGGAGTCACACAGACCTGGGACGTTCCTCTACACCTGCTCTTCAAACACCTGGACAACTTTCTCACACAGCTGCATAGCATCCGGGTACACACACACACACACACACACAAACACACACACACACACAGTGCTGCATTTATTAGTAGTTCAATAATTTGGACCCCGTCAGCTGTCAGACAGACAGACAGACAGACAGACAGGGAGGATAGCTCAGCTTCTTGTAGCCGCGGTGCAGAGACGGTCGACAGCCTGCAGAGGAACCTCCAGTGGAGAGAAACAAGGGAGGAACTGAGAATGAGACAGTTCCTTTATCAGCAGATCAAACTCATCTTGGATACAATATTTCAGTGAGAGGACCACAGAATTACTCCGTCACATATTGTGAATTTCACAATTTGACCTTTCAGGAGAGTCAAGACGTTAGTTGCAAAGCTTCAGTCAGCAGATTCTTAAATGTAGAATCGGACCATCGACTAGTTAATGGTACATTTAGATTCATTCAGGAGTCTGTGTACCGATGTATTCGCATGTATAAGGACAAAACTGATTTCTGACTTGTATCAGTAAATGTTTGTACCCCTAGTCTCCAGTTTACAGGGTTACTGGTTAAACTGAAACACTGGTGGTGGTGAACTGGGATAATGAGGGAATAATGAGTTGGGTATCATAAAATCAAATAATAGTACCTGAGAATTGTACTTCAGTACTTGAGTAAATGTCCACTGAGCATCAGCAGTACTTTGAGTGTAGTGTAGTTTGTGTTTGTCGTTATTCCTCTGTCCTCCTGCAGGAGGCGTCTTGTGTCATTCTGCAGTTTAATCAGGTGGATCAGACTGTCCTGTCTGGTGTCAACGGCAGGATGTGGACTGATGTGGTTCAGGGCGTGTATGAGGACTTCCTGAGTCATGTGACGGTTCTGTCTGAGTGTAAATGTGACCCCACCGACCCCGACGACCAGGTGACAGTCAGCTGATGTGTTTGGAACTTCCTGTTTGAACCTGAGCTGTATGTGACTCCTCTTCCTCTTTCTCCCAGAGCCCCAGGTTGCACCTGGATCAGTTTCAGGATCAGATGTTGGACCTGGACAGACGGCTGGGGTCTGTCCTCAGCAAAGCCTTTGAGAACTGCTGCGACTTCTTGTCTGCTTCAAAGGTACCGGTCTACAGATCTACCACAGTCCCACAGCTGCAGGGAACACCGTTTTCTGATTTTGGTTTTCACATTTCCGTTGGCCACAGAGCACACTGACCGTAAAGGAGCTCTGGTCTGATCTGTTCTGTGTTTCAGCTGGTGGAGATGTTCAAGTGCGTGCTGGACCGTCCTCTGATCCAGGATCAGCTGCGTCCTCAACTGATCCGTCTGGTGGAGCTTGTCCTGATGGAATTGGACCAGATTGAGGTGCTGTTCTACTGTCAGAGAGATAAACCAGAGACATTCAGCAGGTTCACTCCAACCGCTGCAGCCGGACTCTGTTGGACTCAACAGCTCAAACGGAGAACTGAAAACACTCTGGAGAACTACAGGAAGGTCGAATACCTGTAAGAACCAGAACACACACACAGTGAGGTCTCCTGGCTGGTACAGGAAGGGTTGGTTTACACAATTAATCGTATGCTCAAGTATGCTGGAGAGATACATTATCACGATTCAGTCTGTACCTGTACTCAGTTTCTGTGTTGTGTTCAGGTACCTGGACTCAGTCTTTAATGACAGTCTGTGTTGTGTTCAGGTGTATGGGCTCAGCTAAGTCCCAGCTGGTCCAGCAGAGAGCCCAGCAGATTTTGGACTTCCTGCAGGACTTCAGAGACCAACTGAGGACAGACTGGAGCTGCCAGCTGGACTCAGACTGTGCGTTCATCCTTCAACAACCTCTGATACAACAAAAACAGCGAGGCATGCTGGGAGTGAAATGCAGCCACAAGGTCAGAATAAATCCAAAAATGGTTTGATTAAGAGGAGCTGGAGAGTTACCTGTCTGCAGACTCACATCACAAATAAAACCTCTAAGGATACTAAATGTATCAGGTTATCTCACAACCATGAATCAGCCATGAGAGTGGTTTCTCTCTTCATCTCATAAGATGAACAGCGTCTTCATTTTCTTCACAATCATTGTCGATGTTGTCAGCTCAAAGTTATTGTCCATATCTTGTCCATTTCAGTAGCATCCCAACGCATTTACTGACATGTAAATCTGATAATGGAACAAACTGCTCCGCATATAATGTGTGTAACAGGATATCGCGGGTAGTAACAGAGTGTTTACAATATTTAAAATCTTTCTGTTTTCTGAGCGTTTTCTTACTTTTAGACTAGTCGATTACTCTAAATTTAAATTTCCGATTAGTCGACTGTTAAATTAGTCGCCAGTTTTCAATTTCAAACTATGAACTTTGTTTTTAAGTGTTGTGAATTTAATGTTGTCCACAAAATATTTTGTTGTGTTCTTCTCCAAATGTCATATTTTTTTCTGACCATCAATATACTGTCTTATTTGTCTTACTTATACTGTATTGTTTGGAGCCTACATTGATTAAATAACTTGAAAATCTTGTTAAGGGAGAATGGACACTTGTTGCTTTGGATTGTATCTAGATTATGTCCTCATACACACCTGTAAGACCTTTCTAAATCTAACTCTGTGTGTGTCTGTGTGTGTGTGTGTGTGTGCAGCTGGAGGCGGTGCTGAGGGAGCTCAGGTATGTGAGCAGAGAGAGAGATGTGGAGCTCCTCCCCCACACTGCTCGGCTCTTCACCATCAGAGAAGACGTCACTCAGAGCTCCCTGAGCCTGGGTCACATGGTGTCCTGCTACAACCAGGTACCCTCACACACAGACAGCACTGTGGTCCTGAAGCTGACAGGTCCAGGTGAAGGTGAAAGTCATGTGACAGACTGCATTCCTCCTTCAGGTGATCAGTGGCGCCCTGCAGGTGGAGCTTCCTCTGATCCAGGACCAGCAGCAGGACCTGTACCGGGCTCTGTCAGAACTGCAGAGGAACACCTGGAGCTGTGAAGGTGATACATAACATGACACATCACAGCGCGTCTCAACTGTTTCATTGTTTTCTGTTGGAACTGGTCTGGTTGTTCCACGAGCGACCACACACTGTATAATAAACAAGTTAAGGCTCTCCTCTTTTCTAATCACAGCTGATCTTTCTAATAACCTTGTTGTTTATGTGTTCATTGATCAGTGGGGTGTCTCTTCTTGTACAACAATGAAGGTAAAAGGCGTCATGTTATTTGAGCTTCTGACGAGGTCACGTAGGAGGCATTCCCATAGTGAGACACTCACTTATGCTAGTCAGAGAACCAGGATTATATTCATAACCTTAACATTGTGACTGGGGCGTCCCAAAGAGGCTTTGAACAGAGAAGTTGAGCGAACAAACAACTCCATGAGCGAGACTCCACTGAGAATATCTGATACTGTGTGATTATATTAATGACAGGTTACTGTGTGTGTGTGTGTTCAGGTGTGCAGCACCTGGTGGAGCAGCGGAGAGAGAGTTTGTTAATCTTCCACTCCACAGTGAGCAAAGCCAGAAACAACATGGACGCCATGACACACATCATACAGGTTAGTCTGACCTCTGACCTTAAACTCTGTCTAATGTTAACTGGAGGTTAGAGTTTGGTTTCAGGACTGTAGTCTGGATCCGTGTGTTTCTGCACCTGCAGGGCTGGGCGGAGCTTCACCTGCTGCAGCGCTCAGGTGACTCACTGCTGGAGGGCGGAGCTACAGGGGAGAGCTACAGACAAATCAGAGAGGAGGGACAACAGCTGCTCAAGCTAACACAGGTAACCACAGATAACACCTGAGGGGGTGGAGCAGAAGGAGGAGAGTCTGGTCCTGATGTGATTCTGGTTCTCAGGTTAACAGGAGTCTGTACGGAGCTGAGGACTCCTTTGAGTCCTGGATCAGGTATCTGGACCACATTGATGACAAGGTCAGGACAAATTGTTCCAGCTAGCATGCTCAAGATCACTGAACACTTCCTGTCTGAACTACATGAACCCACAGGAACCACAGGCGCACAGCGCTACAACACCTCGAAACCATAAATCTCTTTTCTTTACTGCGCTCTCTACCTAGATCTGCGGTCTTTTACGCCTGCTACTGGTCCCTTTAACTGCGGCTCTAATGCTCTTTCTGGCGCTCTACTGCGTCTCTTTACTGCGCTCTACTGCGTCTCTTTACTGTGTGTGTTCAGAGCTGCAGTGGGGCGTTGTTGGCGTTGATTCTGCAGTTAGAGGAAACAGGAAGTGTGTTTGATCCGTCAGTGCGCGACGGCCTTTCTGACCTCCTGAAGAACATCATCAGTGACATCTACACAGCAGCCAGTCTGCCACCCAGGATCTCTGTGAGTCGCCAAGGCAACTACCAGGTGACTGTGACATCACACATTCAGTTCTTTCCAGACTGCAGGTAGAGAAACATTTCTGATATACCTGTCTGTCTCTCAGGTGTGTCTGTCTGTCTCTCAGGTGTGTCTGCAGCAGAGTCCAGAACTCTCAGTGTTGGAACAGGAAGTGATGCATCGCCTGCTGCAGGTGAGAGAGGAGGCAGAGCGTCTGAGGGAGGGGCTGAACAGGTACTCGTTCCTGTGGCAGAGTGACAGGTTGGTGGTGCTGCAGGAGTTCCTGACCTACAGCAGACGGCTGGGACCTGAGGAGCTGGATGCCGCAGAGGCCCCGCCCACCCTGAAGGACTTCCAGAGGGAGGTGAGACACACCTGTCTATGTGTCTTACTGCCGTATTGTTTTATAGTAAATGTTGTTTTGGTGCATCGTGGGTAGAGACCCTGCTCTCGACAGGTGTTGGTCAGGTTTGTTGTTGCTGGCTGATGTTGCTGAGTCATCACTGTGACCTCACCTGTTTCAGATCGAGTCACTCCACAGGCTGAGCAGGGAGGTTGCTGACCTCGATGATATCATCGTTCTGCACAGCTGGCTGCAGGTTGACCTCCGACCCTTCAGAGACTCCCTGCTGTCAATCATCTACGATTGGACACACATGTACACAAATTATCTGCTGGACTCAGTCAGCAACAGGTATATCACATGAAGAACCTGCTGGACTCAGTCAGGACCAGGTAAAACTCACTGAGACTCGCATTGGACTCATTCAATCACAGGTAAACTCACCTGAGACCTCTCTGTGTGTGTGTGTGTGTGTGTGTGTGTGTGTGTGCAGTCTGCAGCAGGTGACTCAGCATGCTGACGGTGATGAAGAGTCTTCCTCTTCCTCCAGTTTCCCTCTGACAGAAACCATCATCTTGCTGGAAGCTGCAGGGGTCCAGCTGCCTGAACACCTGTCGGCACAGCTACAGGTAGTGACATCACTCTGACATCACTCTGTTTTTTGTTGTTATAGCTAGCTATAGAACCCACCGATACATCACGATACAGGGTTACAATTCAATATATTGTGATAAACTGGGATAATGAACGTGTGTATTTTTCTTTATCACAGTCGCTGTAACAACACCAGAGTCTGTTTATAACACTACCACCTAGTGGTTGGGAGTTAAAAAACACAACATATACAGTATATATAAATAATACAAAATATCACAATATAATATTAGGACTGCACCGTTGCGACTTTTTCAGTCTGTAGTCTTCCGAACACTCATACTCACATTAAAGGTCCAGTGTGGAGGGATTTAGTATCATCTAACTGTGCAGTTGTAGATTGTAGATAAACCTTCACTTCACCCTCCCCGTTCGTAGTGTAACAATATTACCTGTTGTATATATTTACAGTCTGGTTTTTAGTTTTTTCTTCAGTCTGACAGTGGATTCATGAGCACAATGTAGTTAATAATGTTAATAATAATAATAATGTGTTTGTTTGTTTCAGTGTTGATGGGCTGAAGAGGAGACGTCTGAATAATTCATTCATTATTCCATCTTATCATTTAAAGTTCAGAAGTTGACTTCACTGATCAACCGTAATTATTAAATGTTTCTGAATAAATGTATCACGGCTGAAGTTGCTTTAACTCTCAACAGAAATGTCCATTAAGTAAAAACCAAATCAGGGCACAACAATTAAACTTCAACCCACAAGATCAGAAATCCTTTCAGTAATAAAAAAACCTGAGTACCAGAAAAAGTTATATATCATAAAATCTTAAAGGCTTATTATGAAACTTGTACTCACAGCCTTGTCGACGAAAGGAAATATGAAACAATACTTAGTTTTGTTAGATCTCCCATCCATAAATATTAAATGCCCCATCACAAAAAAAGAATTGGATATGGCAATTAGTAAACAAATTAAGGGAGTGACGGTTTTTGAATGGTACAAAGAAGAAGACCTCACCCCTGTATTGCTAGAATCTTTAAATTAATGGCTCCACCATCATGGAATATCAGTCATCCCAAAAGAAGATAAAAATAGAGAATACTGTGAAACCTATCGTCCAATTTCTATTTTGAACGTATCAATTCTTTAAATCGAATATTTTAAAAAGAACACTTTTGGCCCGACTTAATAAATGAAGATCAGCCAGGGTTCATAAAAGGCAGACAAACACAGGGTAACATAAGACAAGGCCTACACATTATAGAACAGGTTAATAAACAACGCTTTAGTGCAGCTCTGGTCAGACTCAATGCAGAAAAGGCATTTGACAGAGTTAGTTGGCCTTTTTTGTAAAGAGTGTTAGAGAGGCTGGGCTTCAATGACTGTTTGGTTGGGTGTATTCGATCATTATATAGAGATCCAACTGCTAGAATAAAAATAAATGGCCGTTTACAGGTAGTTTTATTCTATTTAGGGGCATTTCCCAGGGGCTCTATGCTGGCCATTTGTGTCCAGTTCACTTTCTTTTTTTTGACCATTTTAGCTGTGTTAATGCATATGGAATGAAATTTTCAAGGGTCTGGATTTTTTCAAATATATCAAGAATATACTGTATACATCCAATTGTACAACTTGGCTCTATCATGGCCACTTCTGGCCAGTTGAAACCCAGTAAAACTACATTTTTCAATTCCTTGTTATTTACAGTATAAATTCATACAATTTAGGTAAAATGGCTTTCATTCTAAACTCAAGACTTAAAAATGTAAAAGTAAAAGTTGCAAAAAAAATAAAAAATCTAAACAATTACAGACTCAGTCTGTTAGTGGCCATTTCTGGCTACGATCAGCCAGTGGATAGTGATTCTGAACAAAGCCAGAGGGTTAATCAAAACTTCCCAAATTTAATTCTATAAAATAAAAATACAGTTAAAATATATTTGCCAATCTATATTTCTTTCACAGAATTTACTTGTTTAATAGTTTTAAACTGTTAAATTCAAATGTAATACTATTGACAGATATCTTGTACAATTATAGAAGTTTTCATAACAGAAAATGTTGAATAAATGTTTTATATCAATGTATAAGCATTGGTAAACTGTC